ATTGCCTTCTTTCATTTGACTTTCCCCAATTTCCCCTAGTTTAGGGGGTCTGTGTTAAAACTCAATGGGTTTGGAGCAGCAAGAGTTACTCTGGTGTCACTGTTGGATAGGGGTGCTCCGATCAGGATTTTTGAGGCCGATCACAGAAAGCAGTATCTGCCGATCCGATCACCGATACCGATCTTTTTAAAGCCTTCTTTTTATCATGTAGAATGATTGATCATGCACTGTATTTTTGTTTTTATAATCGTGTAATTGTTGCACAATAGCCTGATTTTGTGAGCTGTATGTGAGGTTCACACGTACTCTTTGCAGTGCGTATGTAGTCCATGTGTGGAACAGAAGCAGCACGGACTGTGCTTTCACACAGGAGTATGCTCCTAATCCGTGGCTGTTTACCACAAACACAACATTTATCCATTACTTCATTATTATCCATTATCATGATTTTAAATCTAAATTGTTACTTAAAATGCTTTTTCAACATTGTGATTCTTTTTTTACACAGTACAGTAATACAATCTTTCATCAATTATTCAATGCTTTTTACTTTTGCATTTACTTCTAGATTTATATATTAAGTTGCTAAAGCAAAACATTTAAACTACTTTTCTTACGTTATCACAAACATTCTAAATTAAAACTTACCATTGACAGAAACAGTCAGCTCTACTGCCTTTTCTTTTGCATTTAAATCTTTATTATAAGCAATCCTGCGGTTCATAAAGAACTTCAATTAAGAACTTTAAGAACTTTAAAATTATTGCCTTGTTTATCTAAAAGTGCTCTTTTCCTTTAAACCTAGCCAAAAAGCCATAGCCTATGTGTTGAATGTGAAACACAGTGGACTGTAATTATATGCATTTATGGTGTAATTACTACATTTATGTGTCAATGCATGTTCATATTTTCCCAAACAATGTGCTGTTACTTTAATGCAACGCAGCAAAAATAGACTCGGTGTGGAAACGATCTCTGCACCGTTGCAGACGCGCCGCTCCTGAATACACTGCCGGACCGCAACAGTGTGCAGTGTGAACGCTTTAATCCGTTAACATGAGCGCGGAAAAAATACGCACCACATACGCACTGCAAACAAAGTAATGTGAACCTGGCGTTATGTGTGTGTGCACTGCGAGTCTGCATGAGCGCACGGTCTCCAGGAAAGCACGCGAGTGTTGAATGGTTTAAACACTGACAAGAATTAAAAAGAAAAAATGCAATTTATAAACTTTAGTGACGATGCGACACTGCCTCGATGGTGCAAGTGACAATTCGTTTATCAACTGTGCAGCGTGCAGCTCACTTATAGAGCAGACACGATGTGATTTTAAGCCATTTGCATTTAAAAAGAGAAAGAGAGCGTGCGCGGTGATTCACTCACACTGTTTGTGAAATTATGTCTCACAGAAACTTTTTCAAATTACTTTATAAGTTATTTAATGAAGAAATATGAATGGTACCTCACCTAAAGCATTATAACGATTTCACCCAGGCCGGACAGAGACTGAGACGGTGCCGCTGCATGTCGTGCCAAACCTCTCACGGCAGGCGCGTCATCAGCTTGAGATCGTTTTTTTGACATCAACCTTTTTAGAGACCACCGATCAATCATCTCAAAGCGATTATCGGCCGATAGTGGTCGGTAGCCGATCAATCGGAGCACCCCTACTGTTGGACAGTGTCACTGTAGACAATTATTTATTCACCTTTTTAAATGTCAAGCTTCATAATATGTGTGTTATTTTTGTACAGTGGATTATTTAATTTTTAAAAGAGGCACTGCCTCCCTTGCCTCCTCTGAGGAAACGACCTGCTTCAGGGGTAGGCTACATGCAGAGAAGTCTTCACGGGAATGTAGGAGGAGAGTGCATGAGCCAATGGAAAAAGGGAGATTGGAAAAAATGAAGGAGGGGCTCTCTGTGTAAACACAGAACATGAGACACCTGTACTAAGGTAGGATGTTGATCTCTCTTTCTTACTGCATCTTAAAAAAAACAAAAAAACTTAAAGATACTTTTGATAAAAACAATTTTTTTATTGTTATATATTGTTATATTATTGGCCATTTATTAATGAATTTATATATTGAAAAATTAAATGATTTCTCTTTTTGGATTAAGAATGTTAAAACATACATGGTGTATATGTACAATGATATAAAGTCTTTTTCAATATAACTTAAAAAATGGTATAATACACAGCAGTTAGCATCTTACAAACAACTTATATTATATGTTTTCTCTAAACATTTATTCATTTTAAATCCACTAGTCTCTTTTTAAAATCAGGATTGTTTTTTAACTATACAAATGTTTATTTCACATTTCTGGTCACTAATGCTATGCAACAGCTTTAGTAGGTTAGCAACCTGAGCCCTCATTCATCTTTAATGTGAATGAATATGATAGGGCCCAAGTGACCACACACACACAAAGGATTTGGATTTTTAGGTCTCTTTTGTCCTTTATTGCACTGGCAATCAAGCAATTTTGTTCCTATGTGTTTTTGTTGTTGTGACCTGTTGCAGAGTATGCCACTTTGATCGTTTCACTTGTTTATGTAATATATCTAATCTGTTCTAAATTACAGATACATAAAACATAAAATAATATTTAGGTCAGTTTATGAACTGAGGGATAATCCTTCATTCAGTTACTGGGGTCAGAAATTTACAAGAAGAGTTTTTTTTTTTTAACTAAAATGCCACTGTAAATTCGATACTTAAAACCTTTCATTGCTGTAATACTCCTGTTTTTGCCAGACAGGGTAAATGCACCATGCTGATAATGTGTGAGTTTCCATGACCATTAACATAAATTATATCTGGAAGTCCTGCATTCAAATTTCATAGACATTGCAGAGACTATAAATGCACAAAATGTTACCATGTCAGTCAGTGCCCGTGGTATCAGTTGTCAAACTCAGGAGGCTAAAGGCTTTTGTGAGACTGTCCTAGTTCTCAGTTGCCCCCAGTGGTTATCTGTAAAATGTGTGTGACTTAACAGAAGACTAGTGTTCTTCTAAAAAAAGACACTACAAAGGACTGTATTACAAAGTGATGACCTCTCCATCAAGGAACGAAGCAACCAAGGCATACAATAACTTATTTGTATGGCTATGAGAGGATTACAAAATTGCAAAATGTGCCTATACAAACATTTCACTGCAGTTTCCAGTTTGGAATAAACACTAGTGGCAGTAAAACACCAAATACCTTTATTTCTGTTTCCACAAACTGTGATTATGGGGCACATTATCAAAAAATAAAGTAATATTTTTGCATGATTCCTGGCACAGTACTATGTTATGAGCTCAAAACACTCTTTACCATAGTGCATGATTTGTAAGCACATTTTGATTTCTGCATCTTATTACACATTCCATATGCATAGCTTTTCTGATGTAGTAAATTTGCACGTGAAACATTACAAGCAATGCAGTATAATTTTGCAACCATTTTGTACTAACAGGCACATATTTTTATGATACTGTGTTGCATAATAAACCCACATCTGCAAAGGAGAATAAATGATATACAGTTGTGGTCAAACTTTTACATACACTTTGCAGCATCTGTAAAATGTTAATTATTTTACCAAAATAATTTACAAAATGCATGTTATTGTTTTATTTAGTACTGACCTAAAATTACATATTTCACATAAAATACATTTACATATAGTCCACAAGAGAAAATAATAGTTGCATTTTTTTTTTTAAATTCCCTTGTTCAAAATTGACAAATGGTTGATTCTTAATACTGTGTTGTTACCTGGATCATCCGCAACTGTTTTTTTTCTTGTGATAGTTTGATAGTTGTTCTTGAGTCCCTTGTTTGTCCTGAACAGTTAAACTACCCTCTATTATTCAAAAGAATACTTCAGGTCTCACAAATTCTTTGGTTTTCCAGCATCTTTTGCATATTTGAACCGTTTTCAACAATGACTGTATGATTTTATGACTCAGAACACAACTATTACAAAAGGATCAAATGGTCACTGATGCTCTATATTATCCCTGGCTCTTAATGCATTGTTTTTCCTTATAGAGTCTATAAGGAAAAAATATGCATTAAGAGCCAGGGGTGTAAACTTTTAAACAGAATGAAGATGTGTATATTATTTTTATTTTGCCTATATATATACATTTCATTTAGAACTGCCCTTCAGAAGCTACAGAAGATAGTAATATTTTTCCCAGGAGACAAAATAAGTTCAATTTACCCTGATCTTCAAATTCAAAAAGGAAATTCCACCTCCAGGCTCTTAACGCATCATGTTTCCTTCTGGAGCATCAGTGAGCATTTGAACTTTTTGTAATAGTTGCATATATGTCCCTCAGTTTTCCTCAGTGTGAAAAGATGGATCTCAAAACCATACAGTCATTGTTAGAAAGCGTTCAAATACAGGTTCAAAAGATGCTGGAAAACCAAAGAATTTCTTGGACCTGAAGGATTTTTCTGAAGAACAGCGACCAGTTTAACGGTTCAGAACAAACAAGGGACTCATGAACAACTATCACAAAACAAAGCCAAAAAACAAAAATAATCCAGGTAACAACACAGTATTAACAACAAACATTTGAACTGGTCATTTTTATAAATTCCACTATTTTTTCTCTTGTGGACTATATAAACGTTTTTTATGTGAAATATCTTTAGGTCAGTACTAAATAAAAAACAACATGGTATCAACATTGTATGATCCCTCTTATTTTGGTCAAATAATTAACATTTTGCAGATAGGCGTTTTGACCACAACTGTAGCTTATAGTGCCTCTTGTGGACATATTATGAAAAGTGCAGTGAAATATACCCAAAACGACATAATTCAGGTTTTGCAGACATATAGGCAGAGTCACGTATTTCCAATAAATCTTGGTTGAATGTATTAACTGTACACAGTATGTGTGTGGTATTTTGTAACAAGAATTTTACAATTTTCCCAACAGGTATCATCAGTGAAACTGAAGTTCAGAAAGCCCCCTGCTTTAGAATGATGCTGCTTGGGTCACACTTCCACAGGAGGCCCTTTCCAGCAACTGTATCTCAACCAGTGTCCAGCACCCCTGTGCGTCTTTCCAGTTCAGTTTTTGAGAAACATGAGGTCTCCTCCCAGTCTCTCAGCTCCTTTCCTACCTGGATAACACAAGCACTATGTGACCTATCACAGAGTGAGCAAGAACTCCAGCAGCTAAGGGAATGGCAAACTGCAGAAGTGGACAAAGTAAACCAGGGTTTGGATTCTGCTATTCTTGGAGCTCAGAAAGAGGAACGCTACCTGCTGGAGAGAGTGGAACAAATACATAGGGATACCCAGCAACAGATGCAACAAATAAAAAGAGAGAATGCAGCTGCAGTTCGGGTAGGACAGTCTCTGGTAGACAGGCAGCTGAGAAAGGTGGGCCAACTGAGAGAACAAATCCACATGTGGGGTAGATATCCCAGTGGACCCAATAAAAGTCAGTTACTGAGAGGTGTTCGGGAGCTGATACAACCGTGGGAAATCTCTCTCTCTCTAAAAAACTTACATTTCCAGCCTTACCAACAGCCAAGTACCATACCTTTTGGGGAGGTTGTTGTGCAAGAGGACAACCTGAGTTTTCCAGTTGGTGTGTGTGGACCACAGGGCCACAAGTGTGCTATCCATTCTGGAGATTTGCCACATGAGAACCATGTGGCTGTATCTGAACAACTGCATACTCCATGTAAGCTGGGAGCTGTAGGTGGAATGGACAAAGAATCATCCAGCACAAATACCGGAACCTCTCGTGTTGTCAGGAAGATTCGTATATCAACAACTGAAGAGAATGCATTGGTGGAAGATGCAAAACTCCCAAGCCCAAAACCACCAAATTTTTTCGGTTGCAAACGGGACAATTCTGAGTCATCCCAGGATGAAGAGCTGGAATCGCCCGGTTCTGACATCCGTGGAGATGACCTGTTTTTGGCTATCCATCCAGTGTCAAGCCAAGGAGAGTCAGAAGACAAGTGGCCAGTAACTGGACAATATGGAGTCAGAAAACACTCCAAAGACTACAGAAATCAAAGGACCCTACTCCCAGTCTCTAGCAAAGAACCTTCCTGTCCCCCTGAGGATAATGGGCTCAAACACTATAAAGGAAGTCAAGGATTCAGAGGAGGAATGTTACATTATGTTAATGATAATATGCCTACTAAGTCTGATTACAGGGGTGCTAAATCAAGCTATCACAGCTATTTAGATCTTTCATCTAAGGAAGCAGCACAGTTAAATCAGTGCTCTGGTGAACTGAAACGACCTTCCTCTCCAGCAGATAGCATTGATTCAAACTACACATTCATTGTCAGGTCAGGAAGCAGTCGTAGTGAGTCTATGAAAGGAGAGAAAAAACGGTCTATCTCTACAGCCGACCTTACTACCAGGGGCCGCCCTTTGATTAACGGAAAAGGAGAGAACGTAAAGAGAAAGATGAACCGCTGCCTGTCAGAGAGTCCTCCCTGTACTAATTCAGAACAAGGCCCTAAAGTTTCTGAAAACTGGGAATCAAAAGACCAATCAACAGCAGTCTTCTCTGAGGTTTCCAGTAGAATTTGCAGATCTTTGTCTTTGTCTGCTATAGAGGGAAAAGCTATGCAGCAAACCAGATGTGAGCAGAAGAAAGATAAAAGAAGTGGAGAGAGACCAAATGTGGGGCTATTTATGGTTGAGGAGGAGAAGAGTACTTTAAAAGTTGGACATCTGGTCAAAAAAATTGGCAAGCAAGGATCAGGACGCACTGATTTCACCTTACCCAGTGGAGTTCATGCCACTCCTCAAGGGCAGCTGTTTGTGGTGGACTGTGGAAATGTCCGTGTGCAGATAACTGATCTACAAAGAAATGTTGTGCAACAAATCTCTCCTCCAACATGTGAGGGCACTTCCAGACATTGCCGTAACTTCTTTGATGTCGCTGGTAATAGTAAGGGCTTAATAGCCCTTACTTGTGCTGCTGAACGTGTACTCCTGGTGTTTAGCCGCCATGGCCGCCTTCTGCAGACCTTCGGAGGATCAGGGTCAGCAGGTGCTCAGCAAGATCTGGAAGCTCCAAGAGGAGTCACTGTGACACAGCAAGATGAGTTTTTGGTGGCAGATATCCGTCGTGGAACCTTAACGTCCTTGAAGTTGGATCCTAAGACAGGAGCTAAGATGGAGCGCACAGTTGTTACAGGCTTCCATAGGCCTTACCTGGTGGCAACTTGCTTGAAATCTGGTTTGATAGCTGTCTCTGAGAGGGGCAATGAAACTGGACGGATACCTTGTATAAAGGTGCTAGAACCTGGGTGGAACACCATTCGTATCTTGGGAATCTGCTCTGGCATGGGTCCTGTCCTTTCAAATCCTTGGGGCATTTGTATTGATACAGATGGAGATGTGCTGGTTGCAGACTGGGGAAAGCAGCACTGTATTGTGCTTTATTCTTCTGTAGGTGTTGGTCGGTCTATTGTGAGTAAAGGTCTAAGCAGCCCTAGAGGCCTTGCTGTACTGCCTGATGGCCACCTTGTAGTATCAGACAGCATGAACCACTGCATTAAGATTTATCGCTACAAGTGAAGTATACATGCTGTCAGTAACCTTCAAATATCAGTTCTTTACAAAAATGGGTGGATTGGGTTTGCTTGATCTCTACTTGATTAATCTATTCTATTAAATACCTTATATGACCTAAGTAGTAGTATTAAGAATGTTAAATCCTAGTTAGAAATTCACTCATTCATGCGGAGATGTGAAAATAATATAAGATATCATTTAGTTTGGAAAAAGATATGGCTTTCTAGATTTCTAGATCTATCTGTTTGACTTTTAGATTTAGTAAAAGCATATTTTATATATAAAAAATATATATGTTTGATCATTTTAAAGACTACTACTACTATACTTTACTGCATTAAGCTAACTGAGACTTGTTATAGCACTTGCATATCATTGCTCTTTTGTTGATTTTGATTGCTTCCATTGTCCTCATTTGTAAGTCGCTTTGGATAAAAGCGTCTGCTAAATGTCTAAATGTAAATGTAAAGATGTAATGACATAAAGTGTACAATAAATGAATGTGCTATCTATGGGATAACTACAAATGAGTCCCATTTTGCGTACTTATGCACTATTCTATGCATTTTTTTTTTTGTATAAATAGTATAAATACTCAGAAGATGCACTTAATTTACCGAAAATCGAAGCGTGGAAATGTTGGACACTTCATGCATTCAGCTGTTGCTGCTTTATTTACATAGCGGAGGGGATATCAGACTCTGACGTTAAATGGTAAAATAACAAAAAAAATAAAAGTATACAAAATAATGTAAAGGTGCATAGGGTAGAGTGCATAGCGTCATTTGGGACACAACTTAGATGTTTAAAAATAATCACCAGTTATTATTCAGAAGGTTGTGCATTGCCTTTAAGATCTCTATTTAGTCATGTGTTTGAATATTTTCATTTGGGACACAACTTAGATGTTTAAAAATAATCACCAGTTATTATTCAGAAGGTTGTGCATTGCCTTTAAGATCTCTATTTAGTCATGTGTTTGAATATTTTCATTTGGGACACAACTTAGATGTTTAAAAATAATCACCAGTTATTATTCAGAAGGTTGTGCATTGCCTTTAAGATCTCTATTTAGTCATGTGTTTGAATATTTTGTTTTTGTCTTTATCTTGATTTGTTTGTGCTTAGCAGTAAAAATCTTTTAGCTTAAAATAAACTAAACACCATGTTCAAAACCATTGTCGTCATATTATGTAAGACACTGAGTCAAGCCCCTTCCTCATGCAGAACAGCAAACAACAAATATAGTGTTTCTCAATCCTTATCTTTAGTAGTTGATAGTGACGTGATAGTGGAATGAAGGATGAAAGACCGAATTCCAAACAAAATGATTCAACCCCCTTGACATTTTGCTGACAAGAACATAATTTTATAAAAAGAGTTCAACAACGTCAGTAAACTATAATAGAAAGTTTACACGGGTCCAAGTGTTTCTGAGAACATGAAGTTGATGAAAAATCAATTTGGCTCTAAACACTCATGTACAAAATTATTTAACCCCCCAAAAAATCAAATTTTGTGTAGAATCTTTATAACCTCCAAATGTATGTGTAAAAGCTCAAGCTAATGCAGTTTTCTTATAGAGTTTCCAAAGACTTAATTGTGTTCTAACAAATAAATGACTTAAAAACAGCAGTTGTATGATTGACAGATATATTAAACATTATATATTGACATTATCAATTTTAATTTGCCACTAAACTGTTGTAGATGCAATTAAAAACCCCTCTGGATCTTACAGAAAAGCTTACATTTGTAAATTACTTTAGTCTCCAGGGGATTGAGTAATTTCGATTGCAATTGTATGTGTGTGAGAGAGAGTTGTAAAGAAATACAAAAACTAAAGACATGAAAAATTACATTTTTATGGGACCATTAGTGACAGAAACATTCAAAGGATTTTTATTGGCAGACAAGGGGTCAGGTTCCTTATTCAAAAGCTTTATTTATTTTAGGATTATATTACATAAGAATTTGGGCTGCTAGTGCAAAGATTAAAGGTTTAGTTGTAGGGTTGTAGCAATGGTTGCATCAAACAAAAACAGAAAGTTACTTGGAAAATCTTACCATTAATGGAATAAGATTCTTGCTACTGGGTCACATGCATGTTTGTATTTTTTTTATTTATTACTTAATACGGTTAATGATTAATTATCTAAAGTGAGGATTTTGTAATAATGGAATCTTCTCTCTTTTCTGGACAGCTCTGTCAGTAAATGGTGTCATGTTTACCGAAAGATTACTGCACACACTCAAACATTCATTGCATCCACCCACCGAGAGCACCAGTATAAAGGGCCGCTGCTGTCCCTGCTTCAGTGCTTTTGGCTTAGTTCAGTTAACCTGGATCAAGTGAACAGCTCATTATGACTGCGGTGTTACTTTCCCTGTATGCATGCTTGGCTCTAGCTCTGAGCAATGCGGCTCCAGTGTGAGTATCTGATACAATATCGCTTTCCATCTAGAAAGGACTGCAAAGTGTTCCAAAACAGCTTTTCGTCATAGCTTTTTCAAGATCCTTAAATGCAATGATGCAAATATAGCAAGCAGTAGTTTAATCATAGCACTCTTGTACTGTAGCCTAAGGGGTTTATATTTTTATGCATGATTTACATGTAGCATTTTACCATGTTATTACATGTAGTACAACATTTATATACTTTGCTTTCTGTGGAATAAATGGGATTAAATTCATATTTGGCCAGTGTGTTTGCATAATCCTCTGTTTACCTGTATGTTTAAATTTGGTCTATCATTGTTTGTGATGTTGCAGAACACTACAGAGTACAATCAATAACATAGATACTGACTGGTTAAAGTCCACATCAGCATTTTTTTTTTTTTTGCTATGTTGCTGTCTTCAGTTCACAGCCTATGCACAATAACTTAAATAATAATTGATCAGTAGGCAGCAATTTACTAAATGTATGTATGCATGTAATTAAGCTACATGCTGTTTGGGTTTGTTTTTTGTGTAATGCAGTCATTTAACCAAAATTTTCTCCTTAAAAGGGTCACCAGACTTTGTCCTGGAGGGCCAGTGTCCTGCAGAATTTAGCTCCAATGGTAATCAAACACACCTGAACCAGCTAATCAAGGTAGGTTTACTTGAAACTTCCAGGCAGGTGTGTTGAGGCAAGTTGTAGCTAAACTCTGCAGGACACTAGCCCTCCAGGACCAAGTTTGGCCAAAATGACCAAAGCATTGAAATTTACATTTACATTTTAATTGTTTTCTTTATTTCAGTCACCATGATGTCATGATAAAAGGTAGGTTTGAAAAATTATCGCTGCAGTTTTTCAGAAATTCTGACATTCTTAGTGTGTTAAAAAATTGCCAAATTCTTCTTGCCACAATTCTAAAGGCTTTTACTAATACCATATTGTTATGTTGATGGTATTTTAAGGGTTCAATTTGTTACGTTTGATTATCAACTGGATGTTAAGTGGCACTATATTCACTCTTGATCTAGTGCATGCTCTAGATTTCATGAATGATAAATGCATGTAATGATATTATCATAGATGCCCCTGAGGACCATTCACATCCTAAAGGAGAGGACCCCCCTGATGCCAAACCTGATCGTTGTAAAGGCATCGAGTTTGATGCCATAACTCCAGATGAAAAAGGAAACACGTTCTTTTTCAAAGGTCTACTATAATAATTATTTCTTTTGTTTATTTCTCAGTATATTTTACAAGACAATGCCAGCTCAAGTAGAGATTCAAAGTTAAGTCTATAGCTGTTTCTGCATTCTTTTTTTCAGGTGACCATTTATGGAAAGGTTTCTCTGGACCAGCTGAGCTCTCAAACAGCATATTCAAAGAACTGGATGACTATCATCACCTTGGTCATGTTGATGCAGCCTTCCGCATGCACCATCAAGATGATCTCAATGTTCATGACCACATCTACTTTTTTCTGGTACTTTTTTACAAGTTACATCTAGTCTGCTTCTATACAGAGAGTATCAAAATAATTTAAAATCAACTTTTTTTCAAATCAACAAATCAATGATTTTTCTTTGCATAAGAACCAAGAACCTATCAAATATTTGTTCACATTGTGCAAACCCAAGCCTACAGTCTATAATATTACAACCACAGACATGCAATTCAGTGCTGATGAGTATTTTTTATTTTTTATTAAGGATGACAAAATCTTTAGCTATTACAATTACACCCTTGAGCAAGGCTACCCTGTGGAAATCCAGCAGGAGTTTCCTGGCGTCCCCAGCCATCTAGACGCTGCTGTTGAGTGTCCCAAAGGAGAATGCATCACTGATTCAGTGTTGTTCTTCAAAGGTTATTGAATCATATTTACTCTACATTCACATCACCAATGCCAATTAAAATCTTTAGAGATTGGGTGGCTTTATACAGCTGTTATACACCTATCATGGGTATTCCTTGGCATTGTGTGCTCGGAATTTGTTACTTTGCTTGTATAGTATGTAGTGTGATTTGCATATTAATATATCACAATAAGCCTTTTTTAGGAAATGAAATTTATAGCTTTGACATCAAGACAAAGTCGGTTAAGAAGAAGGTGTGGGCACACTTGCCAAACTGCACATCTGCCTTCCGCTGGCTAGAGCATTATTACTGTTTCCATGGTTACAACTTCACAAGATTCCATCCTGTTTCTGGGGATGTGACGGGAACATACCCAAAAGATGCTCGAAACTACTTTATGAGGTGTGGTGAAGGATTTGGTGAGTCTCTTAATGTTACTCACAAAGTATACCTCTATTATATATCCTGCTTTAAAAAAATTAAATTTTATCTTGAATACATTTTTTACCTAATGTCTATAATGAAATTATTCCTTAGGTCATGGAGGTGGTGCAAGAAAACAACGCTGCAGTGAGGTCAAGCTGAATGCTATCACCATAGATGATAAAGGGAGATCATATGCATTCCAGGGTAATATAACTTTTATTAATTAATTGTTATTAGTATGCAAAACTTAACTGACAAAACTTACATTATTATACAACTTCAATTTTACTATATTTACAGATGCAATGTACATGCGTTTGGACACACACCGTGATGGCAGCCACCATTTCCCTATTTCGAGGTTATGGAAGGAAATTTCTGTTGTGGTGGATGCTGTTTTTAATTATGGAGATAATATGTACATTATCCAGGTAAAATCAATT